GCCTAACAAATGTCACCTTAAACCGAAGCCTTATGTCATAAAGAAATATGAGCAACGGCAACATTGCCATTCAGAACAGAAAATATTTATTTTTAAGCAACTTATACGCAACAACGGACAGGTTTGGCAATGGCATTCCACACAAAAATAGCCACACAAAAAAATAAAGAAATCAGTGGGCTTAATAGCCTAAAAAATATACAGGCACGTTTTAAATTCCTCAGTTTTTTTTCTGTTGATGCAGCACGTCTATAAAATAAAATTTCACTGACAGCGTTACGTGAAATATAAAAAAAATCTAATTAGACCTACTTTGAATGACAAAACGAATTTATTTGATTACCAATATTTACTTTATAGGCTTTTATACTTTAATTTACTTTATAGCCTACACTTGATATGCTACAACGTACCATATAAAACTTGCTCGCGTTTTGCTCTGGCTTCCGCCTGTTCGCGTAGCACACTCTCACGTTTCTGAGAAAAGTGATTCCAAAGTGAATCTTTACTCACTGAAACAGTTTCACCCCATTCTTGTTCTTGCTGTACATTATTGTCATCTATACGTTTGATAAGAATAGTACACTTATATGATTTATCAGTTTCCTTTGAGAAATACATTGCGAATTGCATCTCGGCCAATTTGTATAACAGTCTTAATAATTGTACAGATGAATTCTGGGTAAATTTGGGCACGCCTCAGAATCATACGTAGTGTGAGCGGTACCGGAGCGAAATTGGAGCGAGACAAATTAAGCGACCGCTCCAGCCTTAATTAAAAAACCGCTCCGCGCTCTGACCAAATTCCGCCCGCTCCGCTCCTCGCTCACGCTCCGCTCACATGCTCTGGTATGTATATATCCTTTTTTATTAATTAAATCCATTTTTTTTGTCTCTGTATTAGTTATTTTACTATCTAAATTTTATTTAAAAATGTAATAATATATTCACTATATACACACACATATATACAGTGTACATATATGTGAATGTGTATATATATATAGTAAATATATATATATATATATATCATATGATATATATATATCATATATACACTCACTTAAAGGATTATTAGGAACACCTGTTCAATTTCTCATTAATGCAATTATCTAATCAACCAATCACATGGCAGTTGCTCCAATGCATTTAGGGGTGTGGTCCTGGTCAAGACAATCTC